AACGACCTGTAATTTGAAATTGAAGTGATTACTTTGATGGATTTCGATCTTGCGATAATTACATTCACATTTTTGGCTTACGTGTCGTGGATGAGTTTGGTGTCTGGTGCAAGAAAGACGAACCAACATTCCGTAATAATAAGGGGGAGCGTTAAAATGTTGAACCTGGGGAGAGGGGACGAAAAACTTTGTAAAAAAAGCAAAAGCTAAAGCGCCACTAGCATATAATCACTCAAGTACTCACAGTTTTTCGCAATAAGCCATTCTGTTTTGTTGTTGCGAGATAAAGCTTCTGCTGTCGCGTCTAGTCGCGTCGTCGCGTCGGCTCGTGTCCGTCTTGTCCGTGTCGGTGGGCGGCAGGGGTCGGCTTCGGCGTTCGGCCGGTGACCAGTCTACGTCGAGTTGACGGGATCCCGTGGCTCTTTTACCCTCACCACTCAGTTTTCACCAATCAGTCCACAGGAAACTGCTTGGTGGGGAAAGAAGAGTCACGGGATCCGCCTTGCTCAGAAGACTATCCTTTGACAGTCTACGTCGAGTCGACGTCGAGATTTGAGCTCATATCCTCTCGCACCTTACGGAGAAGCTTCGAGAGCGACAAGGAAAGATACACTATTCTTTCGCTGGGAAGGGCTCCTAGTCCTAGTTGCTCACGCGAGAAGACTTGGCGATGCTTCCCAACAGGAGATCAGCGAATCTTTTCTTGGCTGCTCTCGATACTTTTTCTTAACTGCGAAAGAGAAAAGACACGATTCTCTTTGCTATGGTAATACGATGACTATAGCTGCGGGGGTGGGTCAAGAACGGTAGTGCTCAGCTGTCCGTCTATAGCCCCTGCGTAGAAATGTAAGTGAAGACGTAGAAAAAATAATAATTCTTTCTCCAAACGTGTCTTAAGGTGTAGGTAGGTGGACGGGCCTATTTACGACTACAGGCTTTGGCCTTTGGCATTCCCTATCCCTATCGTCTCCGGCAGACGGGAGAAAAGAATGATGACGGATGACGTCACACGCCTGGCTGTTGATCAGTTCCATTTGACCACTGTGCTTTCGCCGGGTGATACGTGCTTGGATACCTTGCTGCCGCTTTGCCAGCTTTGCTGCTATTTCCCAGCATCAGCATTAGTGAGATGCCGTCCAACATGTAAGTAAACTTTGACAATAGCTGACACAGAACATCCCCACGACAATCTTTGCGCGATATTCATGTACCTCTTTGTTGCGGCCACCTGCCGGCGACACCCCGCCAAATGCAACCTCTCTTGCTCGATCCGTCGACAAGGTAGACGAATTGGCCCAAATGCTGTCGAAATTGACACTCTTTTGCATGGAGAGATTCTTTTCTGAGGTTAAATTGACATTAAGTGATGTTCCTCAAACACGAGGCACTGTGTGCTGTAGTGGCTATAACCACAAATGGCACCATGCTCATTCAGTTGACCATATCGGCTTCTTTGTATCTTTGTAGACCCGCTTTGCGCATTTGCCGGCATTTACAATAAGAAACAACAGTCGCCTTTATGATTAATGTTCAAAACTATCCAAATTTATATTCTTATCCCCTATTGCCCCAAGTAAGAATATTTATCCCCCCGGGATAGGGATTAGGCGGTGGAATACAGGCTGTTACTCCACAAGGAACAGTACTCACTCTTACTTTAGTGATCTGATTGTCACAGGCATTACTATCATTTTATTAAAAACATTGCACAGAATCGTTTTACATGTCATTAACATATTTCTCTCTTGACAGGGAGATTGTCCTCTACGCTGGGATCACCCAGTTCATTATAAGTTTTTGTGCAATGTGCTTGTGCATTTTTGAACCGGAATTCGTCATTGAATATTGGCCTGAAATCAAGTGGTTCCTGTTGGCCCTTATCCGCCGTAAGTACACCTCTATTTCCAACATGTCTCACATATAATGCCTCTGCTACTGATGGTATTCCTTTCCTTCCTCATTGAAATGACGCCTTTTCTTATTTGTTACAGTATACTCTATCTACACACACTACCATCAGCGGAGGAAGTGATACCTGGATGTTGGAGTCATGTACTGAATACTAAGTGTAAATATTAGTCATGTACAGAATACTAGTGTAAATATGTGTTATAAACATTGAGATATAACTGCTTCTCCTTATTGCTACTGCAAATATGCCACCATATAATCACCACTGCACTTATTGTACCTGTTAAATTGATTGAATACCATGACTGTAGTGTGATAATCATCTTTCCAGTCACGTTTGGAGGTTACTGCAATACATTGTTGGCTGAGTGATAAGCGAAGCCTATTCTTAAGTATTGAACATAGGTTCACCATTAACATTGCACATTGTTGTTACTGAATGAATGATCAATTTTCTTCCAAAACGGCTGGCGCAGTTATTGTTCTTCATAGGGATTATAACCGACGCAGCACAAGTTGAAATAGAGCACAGCGATAGGCAACCTGTGAGAAGTGAATACATTAATGTGGAGTAGGAGGGGCTGGTACACTTTCATATGCAGGCGTTTATCTAGCTTCATAACTGATTTGACTGCGGCCTCAGCAAGGGACCTTTTCCAACCCTTCGCAGAAGCAAATGTTTTCAGTAGCAAAGCCAAACAAGAAATAGCGAACTGTATAGTTTATGATTGAATGGAGGCGGGGGCTTAAAAATGACGTCCCACCCAGTTTAAACTTAAACGTCCCATAAATGACATGATTCTAGTGAAACTACTCACATCTGTCCGAAATACATTCCATTTGACGGTTTCCAAATTTGTCGTCTGCTAGACTTGACAGCCGGTTGAGAAATGAAATTCAGCACCTGTACCACCGCGACCGCGTCCCGCGTCAAACTATGTAATTCTTCTTCATTCCGACTAAGACGTCGTCGACTGGTTGAGAACAGACGACCAAGACCTACACGAATGCCGTTTTGTAGGATTTTTTTTTTCCTGGCTTAAAACATCTGCCCTGTCCAGATGAAATAATTTGCGTATTGGTAGCAGTGTAAATAGGAGGATGACATAAGTTTGTTCTATCGAGAAGGCGGAGAGGTCGTCTGCTATCCCAATAACAACAAAAAACCTCACGCGAGGTCATATTGACCTGCTTTGGTCACGAGAAAGGTCAAAATATTGGCCAAAACTCAGACATTTTGACGTCAAATGACCGAAAATGACCTATTCGTGACACGTTCTTGTTCTCTGGGGAGAGAGACGGGAAGGGCAAAGGTCCAGTGGTGCTATTTTGTACACGCCGGTTATTTTACTAGATGCAGCTAGTCGAGGACATTTTTAGCAGATGATACATCATACACAACTGAAATTAATAATACTTTACTTAACGATGTGTCATTGTTTAATAACATTTTTAAATACACTTAAATTGTATGAGACCTCCTCAATTTCGAAGAATTTTGCGACTCAAAATACAAAGATTCTGCAGTTCAGAGGTTAGGTTTCTTCAAAGTAAGTTTTCTTAGTTTATTTTCTATGTTAGCTTGCCTAGACAATCTTCTTTAAGTACTTAGCTGTATTTTGTTTGTTCATTTGGGTTTGTCTCCACAAAGATGTGAAAAGGGGAACAACTTTAGAGGAACTCATTAATGAATTTGGTGATGATGTCTGCAAGTCAGTGAAGGAGTTCGAACTGGTCATCTGTAAGCACCCTGTCGAAGGATG